AACCGGCACTTGCATTTCCCTGTGATCAGCGTGTCATTGGACACCGCTGATCACGTGGTAAAAGGCCGCTGTGATTGGCCTTTTACCACATCACGTGATCAGCTGTGTCCGTAGGACACAGCGATCACGGAGATCGCCGGGTGCGCGCCCCCCTGGGGCACGCAGGAGAGCGCGTTCTGGGAGGACGTCATATGACGTCCACTCAGAACTGGCCGGCCGCAGTGCAGCCGTCATTCGGCTATCTGCGATCGGCAGGTAGTTAACAACCAGTGACTCATTCAGCTGTCAGCGGGGTTCCCCTATTAAAAAAGTATCAGTACTCGCTGTATAAAAAATGGTATTGGTGCATCCCTAGTGAAAACAAACCACAGGGGTGCTTGCAATGGTAATTGTTTAGTCATTTATGTAAAACCTTTATTCCAAAAGAAAAAAACTTTTTACTGTAATTTGCTTAAAGTGGTTGTAAACCCCCCCAAAAATCAAAATTTAAATAACCAGTCTACCACGTACAGCAGCAGAAGTCTTCTGTCTCCAGTTTGGCCAGGAAAGGAGCAGCCAGTCATCTGAAATCCTCTCTGCTTTCCTGCAGTGAAAAAACTGGACACATGAAAAAAAATTGTGTTGCCACACCCCCTCTCCTGTGATTGACAGACTAATTAGGAGTCTCATGCATGAACATGAGAGAAGGGGGCGTGTGTCCTGCTGCCATCCACAAAGATGTGTGTTTTTTTCACTGTAGGAAAGCAGAGAGGATTTCAGATGACTGGCTGCTCCTTTCCTGGCCAGACTGGGGGCAGATGACCTCTGCTGCTATGCTGTATGAGGTAGACCGGGCATTTCAATTTTAATAGGTGGCTGAAAAGGCTTCATTTTTTTCCTATAGTAATAAACATGTTATACCTACCTGCTCTGTGCAATCAGATTGCACATAGCTGCCCTGAACCTCCTCTTTTGGGCTTGACTGCTGTCACTCTTGGCTCCTCCTACAGCACATGGGCAAAGCACTGGATTGAAGGCTCACGTAAGTATATAGGGATTTGGAGGGGGGGGCATACAACTACTGGGACATTTTTTACCCCAATGCAGGAAATGAAGCCATCTAAAACATCCTGCCTTTACAACCATTTTAAAAAGTGTTGGAGTTCAGCTTTAATTTGTTCACTGGGTGAAAATAAAGGAAAAAGCCACAAAAAGTATGCAGATACCACATCTAAAGGCTAGGTTCACATTTTACAACAAGAAAAAATATTAATGAATACACAAATATTTTTGCGAAATAAGTGGGATTTATTATTGTTGGTTTTTTTGTAAATCAGGCTGCAAAGCATTGCACTTGTCAGTGGATGGAGGGTGCAATGCCAAGTTCCTGCAGACTCTCTTCCCATCTCTATATATGTAGAGAGGTATAGCCTTTCATTTGGAGAGTTGGAAGAAGTATCAATGGATTACCAGTGTGCTGATCACTGTGATTGTGTTCCATGTCCAACTTCTGCTGTGGAAGATTGGACTTGTAGTTTGTTTGTTTACAGATCTATGTGAATGAATGGGCGGAGCTACACACAGCTGCTCAGATTTCAAATGTGACAGGAGAAGAGCCTCTGTCACAGGAAGTGGGCCCTTTTGCTACCATGTTACACCCTAAATACAGGTATAACCTAACGTGGAGCAAAAGTGGTGGTAGCCTTTTTGGATTGGTAAGCTGTAGTATATTACAGTGATAATAAAGGTTCAGCTTTTTAAAAAAAAAAATAACAAACATGTCATACTTACCTGCTCTGGGCAGTGGATTTGCACAGAGCAGCCCTGATCTTCCTCTTCTCGGGTCCTACTCCGGTGCTCCAGGCCACTCCCCCTTGCTAAGTGTACCCAGCACAAGCTGGGGACACTCTAGGAGCACTCATGCTCGCTCCCTGGCCATCACTGTATGTTTATAAGACGCCCTCGCTCCCTCCCCCTCACTAGCTGTTATTGACTGCAATAGGAGCCAATGGCTCCCAGTGCTGTGTCTCAGCCAGTGAGGAGAGACCTGAGAGAGCTTGTGCTCTCGCGCACATTGCTGGATCAGACTCAGGTAAGTATTAGGGGTGCTGAGGGAGGAGCTGCACACTGAAGGTTTTTCAGAATGCATGAAGATAAAAAGCCTTCATCCTTTACAACCACTTTAAATGTTTGGGGGTTAATACCGCTTTAACCCCTTGATGCTGCAAAATTAGCGGCCTCACAAAACTGGGCTTTTTTTTTCCGTGGGCCTGCTAATTTGTGTACCTGTCTTCATACTAGGAGAGCACCACATGGCATGCTCCCAGCACAAAGACGAGTGTCACTGAGAGCCCCAGGTCCCGTTCTAGCAATCGGGACCCTGAACTCCTGATTCCGGGTCACCTGATCACTGTGATAGCCTCTGATTGGCTATCACAGTGCTCAGTTGTGTTTTCTATCTCTGAATGGAGGAGCGAGATACATTGTATCATTATATACATTATATTATACATTGTATCTCTCTCTCTCTCTCTCTGTCCTTTCAGAGGGAAATAACAAGTGTGTGTAAATATAAATAAATAATAATTTAAAAAAATAAACAAAAATATCTAGATCAAGGTTTGATCTAGGTCTGTGCCAGGATTATTGTTTTGGTCAAGGTCAGGTTTTTTTTTTTTTTAATTTTTAAATTAGTATCAGTTTGTGGCAGGATAAAAAAAAAAAAACAACATGCGCACTATTGTTTCTGGGCTGTGCTGCGGGTACAGACAACAACTAACATACACGCATGTGGTATTCGATTGTCAGGGGCTGGAGAAATTATTTTGGGTTGTTCTTTGGTTGTAGGCTGTGGTAGTAGCAAGAAACAAACAGCTAAAGTTTAAAAAATATGTTTTTTTTTACTATTTTGGGCCAGTTTTACTTTGGTAATAAAACAAAAATCAGGAGATATCCATTATTATTTACCACCAAATGAAAGCCCAATTTGTCCTGAAAAAAAACAAGGTATAATCTACCTGGATGTACAAAGTAGTTGTGATGATGTGTACAGTTATACTAACACGTCAAAGTTGCAAAATTGTGCTTAGGCGTTAAAGCGGAGTTCCAGCCCTCTTAATGTTTATTAAAAGTCAGCATCTAACAAAACTGTAGGTACTGACTTTTAATATGTATATAAATAAAAAGTGCGCTAATTATTCACAAAAAATGCAAGGATAAAAGAAATACAAATAAAATTCATAAATATAAACATAAATCCAGCCACCATAAACAGTGATAATCCAATATCAACTTAATGTCAATCTTGAAACAAACCCCCATGTGCGAATCCGACACCAGATGAAATGAATACACTCACCAGAGCTATATGATGATTAAATTATAAACCAGCATGATAGCATTTTGCTCTGGGAGCGATGATCTGCAGGATATCCCAGTAGAGGAACAGCAACCAATAGTGATCCAATCAGCACATATGGAACAGCTAAGCAGCAAATGATCTTCCAATAACATGGGCAAAGCTCGAGGAATCAGAAGAGATATGTTGGTTCAGCCGACAGCTGGGAGGAACGTCCCGACTTCACGTCCACAAGGCCACGCCCAGCGATCTCACTAGGCACTGCGATCTCACAGCCGACAGCTGGGAGGAACGTCCCGACGTCACGTCCACGCCCAGCGATCTCACTAGGCACCGCGATCTCACAGCCGACAGCTGGGAGGACTGTCCCGACGTCACGTCCACAAGGCCACGTCCAGCGATCTCACTAGGCACCGCGATCTCACAGCCGACAGCTGGGAGGAATGTCCCGACTTCACGTCCACAAGGCCACGCCCAGCGATCTCACTAGGCACCGCAATCTCACAGCCGACAGCTGGGAGGAACGTCCCGACTTCACGTCCACAAGGCCACGCCCAGCGATCTCACTAGGCACCGCGATCTCACAGCCGACAGCTGGGAGGAACGTCCTGACTTCACGTCCACAAGGCCACGCCCAGCGATCTCACTAGGCACCGCGATCTCACAGCCAACAGCTGGGAGGAACGTCCCGACTTCACGTCCACAAGGCCACGCCCAGCGATCTCACTAGGCACCGCAATCTCACAGCCAACAGCTGGGAGGACCGTCCGGACGTCACGTCCACAAGGCCACGCCCAGCGATCTCACTAGGCACCGCCATCTCAGAGCTGACAGCTGGGAAGAACGTCCCGACTTATGTCCACAAGGCCACGCCCAGCGATTTCACTAGGCACTACGATCTCACAGCCGACAGCTGGGAGGACCATCCCGACGGCACGTCCACTAGGCCACGCCCAGCAATCTAACTAGGCATTGCGATCTCACAGCCAACAGCTGGGAGGACTGTCCCGATGTCACGTCGACTAGGCCACGCCCAGCGATCTCACTAGGCACCGCGATCTCACAGCCGACAGCTGGGAGGAACGTCCCGACTTCACGTCCACTAGGCCACTAGGCCACCCCCAACGCGTTTCGTCACTTGACGTCTTGTTTTCTTCCCTTGTGGATGCGTTATTATAGAGGCTGTCATTGCTGGTGTCGGCTAGACACCTTCCTTGTGAGTGTTATACTTTACTAATAAAATTTTACTGGTTTTAAACGTACTGCACCATCATATCTCTTCTGATTCCTCGAGCTTTGCCATGTTATTGGAAGATCATTTGCTGCTTAGCTGTTGCATATGTGCTGATTGGATCACTATTGGTTGCTGTTCCTCTACTGGGATATCCTGCAGATCATCGCTCCCAGAGCAAAATGTTATCATGCTGGTTTATAATTTAATCATCATATAGCTCTGGTGAGTGGATTCATTTCATCTGGTGTCGGATTTGCACATGGGTGTTTGTTTCAAGATTGACATTAAATTGATATCGGATTATCACTGTTTATGGTGGCTGGACTTATGTTTATATTTATGGATTCTATTTGTATTTCTATTATTTATCCTTGCATTGTTTGTGAACAGGGGCGGACTGACCATTTGGAAACTTGGGCACTGCCCGAGGGCCCGGGGTCAGTAGGGGGCCCCATGAGATGCCCCTGGTACCTTTTTCATAGGCTTTTTTGAGTTTGGGCAAGGACACAGGGGCCCCATGATCCCCTATTTCCCGGGGGCCCCATGAGTTGTCAGTCCGCCCGTTTGTGAACCACCTTTTTTGGTTAGAGGTACTGCTTATTATTTTATTTATCTTGTATTTTCTGTGGCGCTTCTTATATTTGTTACACTGACTTTTAATAAACACACTTACCTGTCCCAGGGTCCAGCGATGTACTCACCCGCACCGTCCCTTCTCTCCATAGTGCCGGCATCTCAACTGTGGGCACCAGGCTGTGACAACTTGTGGCTTCATAGCCTGGTGCCCACTGCGCATTTCACGCCGCACCCCCTGATTGGTCCAGCAGTCTTCTGGGACCTGTGAACGTTCCCATGAGACTGCAGGAGGAAGGAGGGGGCCCAACTGCCGGCTGACTTCAGCAAAGTGAACTGAGCCGGAAGTGGGAGTGGGTACTTATCAAACACAGGTATCCGCTCCCCCCCAAAAGGTGCCAGATATGGCAGTGGAGGGGGGGGAGGAGGAGGCAAACAAGTGGAGCTTTCACTTTTGGGTGGAGCTCCACTTTAACCATTAGCCGCCCGGCCAATGGCCGTTTGGCGGCTTCAGATGTGCCTCTTCATTCTGGGTGCACGCCATTTGGCGTGCTCCCGCACATGCGCCGTTTGCGGTAATGCAGAGCGGCGCAGCAGCGGGATCTGTCACGGGCCGTGCACCTCGGACACGGCCGATGACAGATCCGAGTACCGGCTCCCGTTGCTGGTACCATGTGACCTGCTGTGACCAATCACAGCAGGTCACATGACAGTTGTATACAATGGATGGCTTCATTCATGGTGCCATCCATTGTATACTAGTGCCTAGCTGTGAATGGTCACAGCTAATCACATGCACATGTCATGTGATTAGCTGTGACCAAATCACAGCTAAGCACAAAAAAAAAAAAAAACAAAAAAAAAAAAACTGAATGAATCGATGTCATTCAGGTAAATGCTTGCTTATAGCAAAGTAATTCTTTGCTATAAGCAAATTGTGTAAAAAAAAAAAAAAAATACTGATCACTTCTCCAAAGTAGTACAGTGTTACTATGGTAACATTGTACTACTTTGGTCATAGTAAAATATGAAAAAAAATCTTAACAAAAAATAAAAAAAAATGTAATAAAAAATTAAATATAATAAAAAAAAAAAAAAAAATTTAAAAAAAATAAATATATATATTTTTTTCATACTGTCACCAGTCAGTGTCCCTGATCACCGCCATGCCAGTTATATGATGACGCTGTACTGCACTGGTGACAGTATGTAAAAAAAAAAAATAGTGAAAATAATTTTTTTAATTTTTTCATTTTCCGAAAAATTATGACATAAAAATACAACTTCAAAAAACTCGCCATGCCTCTTATGAAGTACGTCGGACTGTCTACTCTGCAAAAAGGGGTCATTTGGGGGATATCTGTACTGTTCTGACATTCTTGGACCTCAAGAAATTAGATTGGCCGTCAGTACTTCAGGATTGATCAATATTCAGATCTATACCATAGTTTGTGAACTCTATAACTTTCCTACAAACTAAATAATACATCCTAATTTGGGTTATTTTCACCAAAGACATGTAGCAGAATACATCTCGGCCTAAATTTATGAAGAACAATTATTTATTTGTAAACTTTTATAACAGAAACAAAGAAAAATGTGTTTTTTTTTTCAAAATTTTAGGTCTTTTTTTGTTAATTTAGCAAAAAATAAAAAAACCCCAGCGGTGATTAAATACCACCAAAAGAAAGCTCTAGTTGTCTGAAGAAAATGATAAAATTTTAGTTTGGGTACAATGTTGTATGACCGCGCAATTGTCATTCAAAGTGTGAGAGCGCTGAAACCTGAAAAATGGCCTGGGCAGGAAGGTGTAAAATTGCCCGGTATTGAAATGGTTAAGATTTGTTTTACCCTTAGACACAAAGGGGTTAAGGAGATGTAATGGTAAAGAAAAAGATGAAACCATAGATGACATCTTTGTGGCCATGACAGAGGTGGGCGCTTTGCCTAGAGTTGTAATAAAGGGTGTTCCTCCTCCTCAGTCTGAGAGCTGACAGGAATGTAATCAGTAAACTTCCAATCGGGGCGGACTGACCATTCAAGCACTGCCTGAGGGACCGGGGTCAGTAGGGGGCCCCATGAGTTGTCAGTCCGCCCCTGCACATGAACTATTATTGCTGTGAGTGGAGACCTCCGGGCACGGAGGGGTTAAAGGGGAATGAACATGTTTAAACCGTTCTGGCGGCAGCAGCTCAGCTCTCGTCTCTGTCAGTCTGATGACAGTTCATCAATGGCTGTCACGTGCCAGCGCGCTGCCTGGCTGACCGCCCCGCCCACCTGACTTAACTCGTGCTCTCCCGGACACTTGCAGTGTTAGCCGGGAGTTGGATGGTTAATAGAGCGGGCGGAGAGCGGACCGGGGCGGGGAAGGGAACAGCCTCTATCAGTCTGACCCTTCTCCCCTTCCGAGTGCTGGCGCCCAGCGATAGAGGGGCTCTGCTGTAGTCCAGGTATCATCGGCACCGACACATCTTCCTGCCTGACGCCCTCGGGATGCCCACCAACTTCACCGTGGTGCCTGTGGAGCAGCAGGACGGAGCCGCGGAGACCGAGCTGGGGGAAGCAGCGGGGCAGGAGGAGGGTTTGGGCAGAAGACAGAGGAGTCGCAGCGAGGAGTCTTTGTTGGGTGAGTTGTGTGTGAACTTCCTCGTCTGCCCGGGTGATAGGACGGGGCCCGGGGTACCTAGTGACGGTCCCCAGCGTTCACCTGAGCTAGGATGACGTCACCCAGCCACCCCGCCCCTGCAGCCGCTCTGTTGTCAGCTCTACTAATGACTTGTTATGGAGCAGCTCTAGGAGGTGACATTGCTGGGAGTCCATTGCGTGCCGGGAGGGGGCTCGCTCCTGTGTGCCGGGAGGGCTCGCTCCTGTGTGCCGGGAGGGCTCGCTCCTGTCTGCCTCCGCTTGGAAGTTCTAACTATCCAGAGAAAGTAACTGAAGTGTGCTCCAAACGTCTTCTGATTGCACTCGGTGTTCGGTTGTCACTGGCTGCTCTGTCCGGACTTGTTTCTCTTTCAGTTTGTTTTTTAATATATATATATATATATATATATATATGTAATCATTTTTGGTGGCTTTTTTTTTTTTTTTTTTTTTTTTTTTTTTTTTTGATGAATCAGTATACCTTTCTCAGCTGTTGTCAAGTGGCAGTGATTGAAGAAATCTTGTTTCATCAGACTTCTGTTTTGTGGATTTTTTTTTTTCCCCCCCTTTTGGCCTCCTCTAGGATTGCTTTACAGTCTGAAGAATGATCTGCATTTGGATTGCCCTTCAGACAGCAATAGATAGGCACTGAGGGGGCATGGTATCGCCTCGTCACCTCTTTTTAACTTCCTGATTACAAGACAACCATGGCACCATTCACTTGGATGGGTCATGATCGTCGGGCATTCGCATCCATCAAGCACAACAGGGGGTATAATTCCAGCTGCAAAGCATCCTGGCTGCAGGCATGTGTACACCCTCTGCCTCCGCAGCAACAGGGGGAGCAGTTGAGGGGCAGTAAAAATGTAGATGAAACACAGCATTTTACCACTTCGCAGTCACAAGTGTAAACAAGTAATTTTGTGCATTGTTTGGCATTGTGGTCAACTTTGATCAAAATGTAAAATCATATATTTCCACGTTGTTTTTCAGTTATTGTTGGCCTACTGTTCTCCGTACTTGTATGGTAATTCACCGTATGTTTTTATTTTTATATATATTAAGAAAAAAAATAAAAATATTTTTTTTATATATATATATATATATATATATATATATATATATATATATATATAATTTAAATTAAAAAAATATATATATAAATAATTTTTTTAAATATATATATATATATATAAAATAAAAAGTGTGTGTGTGTGTGTGTGTGTATATATATATATAATGTATATATATATGTTTTTATTTTTTTTTTATATATATATATTCATATATATATATATATATATATATATATATATATATATATATATAATATATCCGGTGAATTACCAGACAAGTACCCTATTTACCATTCAGCCGTTAAAAAAAAAAACAGCCGGTCAGCTCCTCCCTGAGGGCAGATGGTTATAAAATGGCCTCCCCTTTCCATTGGACACAGCAGATCACAGAATGAGGGTACCACGTAATCGCACGTAAACAAAGGCTGCATTTTCAGCCAGTATTTGGTTGATGCTCACACACGAATGGGCTGTGTTACTCACTGTTGATGCCAGCAGGATTTTTTACATTGCACCAGAGCCAGTCACCATGTCCATGATCATCAGTCACACCAGCACAGTGTTACCAGACCAACGCAGCCAACCAAAGTGTCCCTGATTGTTAGCCACACCAGTTACCATGCAAATAAGCAGACTTTTAAAGCAGCTGTGAAGGCTCAAGATTTTTTAACTTCATGCATGAAGGTAAAAAAATTCTGTGTGCAGCAGCCCCTCTTAATACTTACCTGATCCCCTCCTGCATCCAGCGATGTGCATGAGAGCAGTGGCTCTGCGGGGACTCTCCTTCCTTATTGGTTGAGACAGCAGCTAAGCCATTGGCCATTGTAGCCAGTGAGCCAACTGGGCGGGGCCGAGCTGCACTGTGGTAAATGGGCATGCCGAGCAGTGGCTCGGGAGTGAGCTTGCTTGGGAGTCCCCATAGCAAGCTTCTTGCTTTGGGGGCACTTGGCAGGAAAGAGGGGCCAGGAGCGCCAGTAGTGGGGCCGGAGAAAAGGAAGATCAGAGCTGCTCTGTGCAAAAATGCCTTTAACCACCTCCCGCTCACCATATAAGGTAATGACGGGCACAAGGCGGTTCTCTTGTTCTGGGAGGATGTCATATGACGTCCTCCCATTCCAACCGCGCATATGCAGCTCCGGGAGCGCGCGCGGCGATCAGTGGTCCCTCAGACACAGCGGATCACCGATCAACGGAAAGAGCTGAAGATGTCGGCTCGGTCATGTGATC